TCGATTCCCCAATCTTTGTGTTTATTAAAACTAATGAATGCTTTTAGCATACAGGAGACTAAATAAATTTGCATAGGATTATAACAGGCAGCCTATACTCATCCCTGTAGGCTTAAACACAAACTGTAAAAGAAACATTTACCCAGTAAATAAGCAAACTGAAAGCTGAACTCCTCCTCCTTTAACTCAGTCCATGCCTGGAGTTGGAGTGGGTTGCAAAAATTCTGTAATAAACTTCACAATCTGATGCAGACTTCTTTGACATAAGCCTTAAAATTGTGCTAAAATTAGTCTAGTTAGTTTTTTTCTATTTAATGGAAGCCTTATGAGCCAGCTTAGTTTCTGGTTCAGAAATTTCTAGAAGCTTGAGACAGAGATGTTAGCAAAAAGCACAGAGAGGTTGGTTAGCCAGGGCAGTGCCAAGGCTACACGTGGACAATCCAACACTGCCCAGGTGTTCCACAGAACAACATCTTCCCACAAAAACCAGGCACTGACTCCAATAAAACACCTGGATTGTGAGTGCTGCAGGTCAGTCATTTCCCTAAGCACAGCCCAGCTCTGTAACGAGCTATTCATCCACTCCTTTGTGATGGAGAAGGTAAAGAAGAGAGAGCAGTGAAAAGTGGAAAGTTCCCTGGGGCTCTGTTCTGTTCACAGCCTGAGGCACAGCCCCAGGGAGTTCAGCCCCACAGCAGATGGACAGTTATGTGCTTTCCCAAAGAATCACAAATGTTTTGTTGAATTTCTCATCAGTTTCAGTGAGATTCCCTCCATATTTGAGTCTTGCAGCTTCCTCTTCCTCCTTGCTCTCTCTTCCAGGGTGTTTAAAAATCTAATTTTTACAGCAAGCTGGAGAACAGGGAGACAGCTTCTCACTCTTACACCCAGCCTTCCTCTTCTTTTTTCTGCAGGCTGGAAGGGAATTTAATTTAATACTTAGATGCCCAAATTCACACACACAGACAAAAAAAAAAAAAAAAAAAATCTTTTCCACCAATAAAGGGAAAAAACTAAGCAATGAAGGAGAAAAACTACAAACATCAGTTTGAAAAAACTGTTATAAGGAAGAATTTGCTACTACACTGAATGGGTTGTGCTATAAGCATGAAAGTTTCATGCAGGAGAAAGTAGCTTAATATTCTGCCCTGTAAGATTCTGTCCATCTTCTATTAGAGCCAGACATAATTAAAAGTATCTGCTTAAATCTTTAGCCTCATTTTCCTCTAATGTGCCATCTAAGCCTGAACAAGAATTAATATCAAGGAGCTGAATGAGCTGGTAAATGCTAATGGAAGATTTATCTAGGAATTGAATCACTAATGAAGACTTTTCCAGTGAGGAAAGTAAAAAATAAGGAAAAAAGGAAAGGAATATTTGTAAAGAGGTGGTGGGGAAACAACTCTGGCTAACATTCACCTTTTGTTTTTCATACTAAAAAAAGAAATTAGGGGGTTTTTGCTCTTTTTCATGATACCAACATAAATAGGGGAGGAAGAATGGCTGGAAGCCTCTGTGGGAGCAATCTCTGTGATAATTACAAGGATTCTGTGATACCAAGGGCGATGTGCTCTGACTTGTAAATTCATGTACTATATTCCACTTTTATTTACTATCAACCCAGTAATGGCAAAATTGAGTATCAGACAGTAAAGCAAATAAATTCAATGTTCATATGAATATTGGCATCTTTCAACATTGTATTTAGGACACATGGCTGAAAATAAAAAAAGTATTACAAAGAGTTTAACTATGCCTTGAGATATTAGGGACATTTCTTAAAATCTCCAAGACCTTTGGTTTTCCTTAAAAATAATAATAAAAAAAAAATAGATAAAACATTAGAAATGGTCCACTGTCAGTTATAAATATTCCTAAATTTGGTAGACAAAAAGACATAGAAACCAGAGTTTTATGATAAAAGTTCTGATTCTACAGCACCCTAAATAAAAATCCACAGGTTCATAATTATTTCAGGGAACTGCTGGATAGAAAGAGATGAATCACTTGAAACAAATATTGCCATGATCTGATTTCAGGGTCAGACACCTCTGCTGTTCAGTACTTGGTGTCATTACCTGGAGAACAACTCAGTGCAGGCAAATTAAACAAGAAAAACTCAGGAAGGAAATCCTGAAGCCAGGCAGAACTAAAGAAAACTGAAGTTGTGAGCACAGAGCTGATCTTGCAGGCTCTCAGTACAAGCATCCTGTGCCTAAAGCCAGGTAATTCTAAAAAACAATGCTGTATTTATCTAAAATTAAGATTAAAGCTGAACACTGCCTACAGCTCTGGCAGTGGAACATTGCTATCTCATTTTAAACACCCAGCTTGGGGAGCTGGAACAAAACCACCCTCAGAACTGCCTGTTTGGAGGGGCTGAATAATTGAAGAGCAGAGCAAAAAGCTGAAAAGATCCTGCTTTTTACTCAGTAACTACAGCAAGTTTGCTTTTTCCAGTATCTTATGAGGTTTATTAACTCTTCAAAATGGGATACTCACTCATTTAAAGTAATTTTACAAACTCTGTTCCGAGCTATTACAAAATGTGTTCAGAGCTTGCAGCTCAGCTTCCCACTCTGCTCTCTCACTGCAAGCACTGTGGTGAAGAGAAAACAGAGGAAGAGACCTTTTATTTCCTCTTATCAGCCTGAAAAGGGCTGGTTTTCAGCTGATCACGTTGATATTTTTAATATTTTCTAGAAGATATTTAAAAAAACCTTTAGTTTGAGAACTCAAAAAGAGAAATTTGTGTATAAACGCTGTTATTACAAGAAATAAGCCACCTTTAGCATAGGTAGGGTTTTGTCAGATGTTTCCTGACAAATCTCCCTTGGATGAACACTTTGCAGGCACAAACACAGATTTATTGGAAATCATTGGCTCCATCTCGTTTCTTTTGAAGTGAACTGAGGCTCTCCTGTTCTCTTGAACAATAGCACAGTCAGTTTCTCAGCTCAGAGTCTTGTCCTAAATACATTTATGTGGCACTCTGCATGTAAGAGCAAATACAGAAAAGAAACAAAACAATCCCCAAGCCACGGGACTACCTTCATTTCCATCATGAATCAGTTTGTCTTTGCTATGGTGCCATTATTGAGCACAGAATCCAGGGCATGTATTTTATTTTTACCTAACATTCAAACAGATTAAAGAGAAAAAAAAAAAAAAAAAGGATTGGATTGAGTTGGCTCAGATTGACTTTCCATCTTTTATTAGCTTCTCTTTTTGCTCAGAGACAGAATTTACAATTACTGAAGTGCAATTAGGCTCTTTCAATCTCCAGTTTTTCTAATAATAACATTCAGTTTTCAGAAATAAACGTTTTCAAGAATAAAGGTCCATGGTGGCAAGGCAGATCCAGGGGAGAAGGGCAGGAATTTGGGATGAGGGGTCCCTGCAGCCTGGGCAGAAGGGTCTCAGACCCCCAGGCTGAGCTGAAATGGGGCTCCTGAACCCATGGAGAAGGTCCCAGGTGAGGCTGGGCAGGGCCACTGACACCTCATGGTGCCCTCAGGTCCTGACAGCCAGAGATGTGTTTTCATTTTCCAAGCAGCAGCTGAAGCAGATAGTAAGTATTCCCTGGGGAAAAAAAAGAAAAAAAAAAAAAAAGAAGTAGTAGAAGGTTTCAAAAGAAATGTCTTGCTTGACAAAGCTTTACAAGCTGCACCACAGAGGGTTCTGGGGATGAACAGCGCTGGCAGCTGGTTTTCATGGCCCTGGGTCATGCAAGAGAGCTCTGTTCTTGCAGGAATCCTACCCAAGGCCAATCTGAGAGTGCTGTCAAAATGGAAAGAACAGAAGCATTTCTATATAGGATTTTTAAAAGGAATTGATCCTGGGAAATGCTGACCATTTTCTGGCAGGTTGGAGCGTTCATCTTTCATCACCACTCTCCCCTTGTGCTAACATCTCTATCTCAGGCTTCTTGAAATTTCTGACTCAGAAACTGAGCTGGTCCATGAGGCTTTCATTGAATAGAAAACACTAACTAGACTAATTTTAGCACAGATTTAGGGCTTGTGTCAAACAAATCTGCATCAAATTGTGATTAAGTGTATTGCAGAATCATACATTGAACAAGCACAGCAGATTTAAGATCATTATTAAATATATAGAAGGAAAGTTAGTTTTCTAGCTCTCCTTTGTTAAAAAAATAAACTCTGTCCACTTCTTTTTATGAAGCATGGGTAAAAATGTTTTATTTTAGTTTTCAAGCAGAAAAAGCCGTACTTATCTAATGCATCCTTATTTGAAACTGCAGAATTGCTATTAAAAAATATTTCTATATTTGCATATAGAAATATCACCATGATTTTTGGTGGAAGCTCTTATCTACTCCTCTGTCTCCAAAGACATTGCCCTGGGAATCTGACACAGACAGAAATTTTTTATCCCTATACTAGCAAGGCTGCCCAAGGAGGTGTGGAGTCACCATCCCTGGAGATGTTTCGGTGCCTGCATCTGGCGTTTGTTGCCGTGGGTTAAGGGTTACAGTGGCAGCGCTGGGTGAACACTTGGACTGGGTGATCCCAAAGGTCTCCTCCAATCCTGATGATTCGCGGAATCACAGAGTCAATTCGGTTGGAAAGGACCTCTGAGATCATCAAGTTCAACTTGTGACCGAACACCAACTTCTCCATCAGACCGCGGCACCAAGTGCCACCTGCAGGGAGGCGACTCCACCGCCTCCCCGGGCAGCCCAAAGTCTAACCACCCTTTCTGTGAGGAAATTCCTGCTAACGTCCAACCTGACCCTCCCCTGGCGCAGCCTGGCACTGTGTCCCATGTGACTCTACGGTTCCAAAGTGCGGCGCGGTGAACTCTGAGGGCAGCGCGGTGCCATGAGGGGACAGCCCGTGACCTCTGACCGCCACACTCAACATGGCGGCCGACACACCCCTCACACACCCCCAGCCCCGCCACGCTCTTCTCACTTCCCATTGGCCGGGCGCGCTGTCACTCTGCCGTCTCAGCCAATCAGCGCGCGCGGAGCGGCGGGGCGGGCGGCGCCGCGGCCTGCGGCGGTGTGCGGGATGAGGCGGCTGTGCCCGCTGCTCTGGGCCGCGCGGGGCCCGCGCCGCCTCTCGTCGGGCGCTTCGCCGGGCATGGAGGAGCTGCTGCGCCGCTCGGTGCCGCCGCTGCCGCCCTACGAGACCAAGGAGAAGGCGCCGCCGCCCGCCGAGCTGCGCGGCGCGGAGTTCGTGCGGTTCTACCGCGGGCTGCAGCCCGGGCCGCCCCGCGCCGAGCTCCTCACCCGCCTGGCCCGCGACTTCGGCGTGGAGCACGGGCGGGTGGCCGAGGCCGCCGCCAAGGTGCTGCAGGCCCGCGAGCAGCGCAGGGAGCCCGGGGCGCTGCTGCAGGCCGAGGACCGGCTCCGCTACTACCTGAACCCCCAGTACCGAGGGCTCTTCCAGCAGCTGGGCCGCCTCGAGGGCGGGCTGCGCTTCCTCGTGGAGCTCAGGGCCGACCTGATGGAGGGGCTGGCCAGCAAGGCGGTGGATGGGCCCCACGTCAAGGTGAGGGCTGGCCTGGCTGGCTCTGAGGGAATTTGGGGGATGTGGTTTGGGGCGTCCTGCTCGTCGGGCTGCTCCTGGAGCCGTGTTAGGCTGGGAGGCAGTCCCGGGAAGCCAGGTCACTGCTGGGGGCTTTATGGTCCCTCAGTTCAGAGAAGGTCATGGCAGTGCTGGGGTGGGTTCAGGAAGGACATTGCAGTGCTGGGGTGGTTCAGGGGAGGACATTGCAGTGCTGGGGTGGTTCAGGAAGGACATTGCAGTGCTGGGGTGGTTCAGAGAAGGACATGGCAGTGCTGGGGTGGTTCAGGAAGGACATTGCAGTGCTGGAGTGGTTCAGAGAAGGACATTGCAGTGCTGGGGTGGTTCAGGGGAGGACATGGCAGTGCTGGGGTGGTTCAGGGGAGGTGTCTAGAGGCCAGGTCCGATGAAGAGTGGCTGAGGGAGCTGGGAAGGGGCTCAGCCTGGAGAAAAGGAGCTCAGGGGGACCTTGTGGCTCTGCACAACTCCTGCCAGGAGGGGACAGTCGGGAGTCTTCTCCCTGGACTTCTCCCCAGGAACAGGGACAGGAGGAGAGGGAACAGCCTCAGGCTGGGCCAGGGCAGGCTCAGGGTGGACGTAAATAAGAATTTATTGTATAAAGGATGATTAAACATTGGAACAGACCCAGAGAGGGGGTGCAGTCCCCATCCCTGGAGATGTACCACAAACCACTGCTTATGGCACTTAGTGGCAGGGTGGTGATGCTCAAAGGCTGGACTCGATGGACTTTTCCAACAGAAATGATTCCAGGTTCTCTGGAGAGACACGAGCCTGTCCCCAGGCCATGGCAGCAGTGGCAGCTGCCTGTGCTGACACTCAGGAAGGAAGTGGCCCCGGCTATGAAGAAATACAGTGACACTGGGAAGTGCTGGCACACAAAACATTGTTTTAAAAGTTAATTTACAGTAGAGCTGGGCTTGATTATTTTTCATCTTGCTGTTTCAATTTTTGTCTCCTCTCTCTTATGTTCTTTTCCTGTGTTCTCTTCCTTCTTTTCACCACAGGACATTGATTTTCCACTGTCCTTATAAACAGTTGAATTTCTGATGAGCTCTTGCAATGCGCAGAGTGAAATTTGCTAATAATCTGTTTCATGGGTGCAGTTCTTCCTCTTGCTGTTCAGAATCCTCTCACCTGCAACATTTTACTCTTCCCGTGCCAGCGTTTTCCTCTTGATATTTGTTACTTTTTGCTTGCTTACTTCACTTTGCTTATTTCAGCCCTTGAAATATGACTCTAGTGAAAAATTCACAACATTGTGATCTCAGGTAGAAAATCATCCAATGATTGCTTTTAAAGTATTCTTCGTCTTTCCATAGGATTTAGAAAAAGTCAGTGAAAAGTTCAAGTTGCTGGCAAAAGATAATGAAAAAGAGAGCATTTTTGTCAAACTGATTTATCTATAAATCTCCTTCCATAATTAAGCAGTAGTTGGAGTGTATTTGTAATCTTGGTCTTGTGTTGATCTACTGGGAAAAAAAAAGGAAGTACCATCATTGTTAAAAGTTTCTCCATAAAAAAGTGTTTGGTGTTTGCCTATCAAAAGTCCTGTGCAGCCATTTCATTAGTGCAGAGTTGATTTCAATTCTAACATAAAGACAAATGTGCAACAAGAGTTTTATAACCTCTGTATATTTGTGTCTGCACTGACAAGGAAATGTGGGAATAAAATTAAATGGATCTCCTTGATGCTGGTGGAGAATTACAGAATGCATTATGTGGCCTCCTGGGATTTTGGTTTTGCTCAAACTGTCTAAAATATTTCTTAGCCAGTCCTTAGTTTTTACTTTGTAATTTGAAAGACCTATTTAAACTAGGATTGCCCATTGCTGTGTGGTAAATATGAAATATTTTTCTATTTTCTCACCACTTTCAACATAAAAGCAGCTCAGACTTCTTGGATATTGGGTGATGAATGATTTCTATTTTGTGTTTGTTCAACAGATTGCAGTAAAATATCATATTTAAGTGATTAAGTCACTTGAAAGTGCTTGAGCACAATTTACTCATTGTCCAAATGAGCAGAAATGGGGGGAAAAAAAAAGAAATAATGATTTTAATTTTAAGATGCCCAGTAATAAAAACCACAAGAGCCAGGAGAGTTTTCAGCACTGCCATTATCACTGCAGTAATTACTATTAGCAATAAAAAAGCAGAAACCAGTCCCCTTTAATTGGTGTCACTGCTGAATCTTGTGTTGCTGGTGGGGATATTCTTCCAATATCTCACCAGGCATATTCTCTGTGTGGATTCTGAAGGTAATTTGTGGGGGAAAATAAAAAAAAAACCCAACAGAATAAAAATCCCTGAAACCCCACCCAAACCAAACCAAATCAAATCAACCTCCCCAGCACAGACACCTGCAGATCTACTCTGATATTGCCAAGTATTTCAAAGTCCCAAATTAAATAAATCAAGTTGAAAGCTTCAAACATTCCAAAACCAGGGGAAAACTCAACTCTTCTGAAGGGTATTTTATTTGGTAGTTTGAGAGGGAAAGTGAAATATTTCCCTCATCAGAGAAGTATTTCTTCTTAATAAAAAATAATTAATTGGAGGTTTTCATAAGAGTTTTCCCATTTGTTGCCCAAGAAATAGGTACTTGTTGTGAAGATTAAAAAGGCTGTAATTTGCTGTCTCGTAGCAAGAACATGGAACGAGAAAAAAATAACCACAATTTATTAAACTTGGCTAGCAGAAATTGAAGTATAGCTGGTAATTTGAAATACTAATCTGAGTGTGTCTTATTGCTCAGATTTAACACTGGGATGCTGAATAATGAATGTGTTTGCTTTTCTTTTTAATGAAGTGTTGCAGATGTAATTTTTATGACTAAAAAGGCATCTGAAATGAAAATAAGAATTTACATACCACTTAATTTACAAAATAAGAGAACCTGCCACTAAATCTGAAAAATAAGAGACCCAAACTTGAGCCTGGCCTTGTTGGGACAGGACATTTTTGGAAATGTCCTGTACACTGAGATATTAAACCCAAGTCAGAATCTTGTTTAGATGACGTGAGTTAAACGCAGTTTTGGATAGTGAAAGCTTTGATGTCTTTCTGCACTGAAAAGTTTTGTCAGCCCAGAATCATGGAATCCTGGAAGGGTTTGGGTTGGGAAGGACCTTAAAGCCCATCCAGTGCCACCCCTGCCCTGGGCAGGGCCCCCTCCACTGTCCCAGGGTGCTCCAAGCCCTGTCCAGCCTTGCCTGGGACATTCCAGGGATGGGGAGTTCCCTATGCCAGGGCCTCCCCACCCTCTCAGGGAGCAATTTATTCCTAATATCCAATCTAAACCTGCTCTCTTTCAGTCTGAAGCCATTCCCTGTGTGCTGTTCTCCAGGCCCAGCTGGGGTTGGACACAGTGATGGTGGCAGGTCCTTTCCACCTGGAGCCATTCAAATTCCTGCACAGTGCCCTGTTTTATAAAACTTTGTTATTCACAGCTGACAGGTTGTTTGACTTGTGATTCCCCATAAACAATACTTGTTTCTCCCCAGATCATTACTGAAAGCACATGTGCTTCTTCTTTGCTTACAGCTGCATTGCTTTTGTCCAGCTGCACCCTGGAGTTAATGAAAACAGCCATTGGCATCCCTTGCTAAATCTTCAGAGGAGCAGAACTCATGACTCCAGTGTTCCCACTGTTCTCCATGCAGGATGACTGTCCTGAGCTCCTCCTGAGCCTTGTGACTGCAGGAGATGCAGAGCAGAATGTGGAAATGCTGCCAGCAGGAGTGCTGCCATCCATTCCCTCTCTGCCTGCTGCACTGCAGCTGAACTGCTGTTCAAAAAGCACATGGATGGTAAGAGAGCCTGAAGAATCTGTTCCTTTGCCCCCAGATCTCACAATTCCAGCTCGTTTTTCTGGTTTACAGTGTGGCCCTTCAAAAGAAAACAAACCAAACAATCCTAGAGTGCCTGGAGACTTCCACTACACCGTGGGGTATTTGACCAAAGTGATTTATGGTTATTATCAAAAAACTTCAGAGCTCTGCAGAAAGAAGGATTCACAAGTCAGAATAAACAAACCAATCACAATATATTTGTTTAGAAAAAAGGTACTGAAAAAGAATTATCATGGAGGACAGAATTGTTCTATGCAGATGAATGGCTGTTTCTTCTGGGTTTGAAAATCTTTTTTTCTAGTATGCTAAGGAATAAACCTGTCCTTTTATTCAGTCTTGGAATACATGTAGCAGTTACTTTGGCCAGCAGAAACCTTCTTTGATGTTTGTCTTTTGACAAGTGGCTCTACAACTTTCATCTTGATTAGGTTATAATAGGAAATATTTTTACTTTTTAGGACAGTCCTGAGACTACATCTGAACTTAGGGAAAATGTTTTAGGTTTTCTGATTAGATTTATGTATTTTTCCAGTTGTTTTTCTTTAATGTAGCAAGCTAAAGTACATTGGACCTGAATTTTTATCTCTTCTATGTGCAGCAGTAGCCATTTAATAAAGTGTGAATGGAAGATGAGGAGTTTTTGTTTTGAAGCAAATGATTATTGCTAGTTTCAGGTAAGCCCAGGTTTCTGATCAGGCTGTTGATAAGTTGGTGCTGGTATCACTCTCTGTCCTGTGTACAAGGCAAATGGAAAAAAGCAGAACAAGCTCTGGGATCTCTTTTAGAGATATTCATGCTGTGCTGAGTTCAAGAATACTTGTTAAATTCAAATAAATTTAGACAGGAAATCTTTAATAATACAGGCAGCAGGGAGTTGGTAGGGAATATAAAAATCACTATTACAGTGAATCACAGTGAAAGGGTTTGACATTGCAGTTGGGTTTCATCTCATACTGTTCCAAAACTGGTTTGATTTTCCAGTTCTATTGTCTTATGCTGCTGGGTTTTATTTTTCTTGCTCAAATATTTTCATGTTTTTAGAGAAGAAAAATTCTGTCTGCATCCTGTTGAAAGATATTTCCACTGTACTGAAATCTGAGCCACTGTGAGACTGCAGCCCCTGGTCAGATTTGCTCAAAACCTTCTACCCATTGTCTGCTTTTTGTCCACAGTGTTTTTCCTGATCTTCCCTGTCCCTGCTTGCACTACAGACAATCCCTTCAAGGATTTCCCTGGTTCAGTCCTGGACTATTTTGTGATTAATCTTCTCAAACAGATCCATAAGTTTCCTTTAAGCTCCCAGTGTTGTAGTTGGAGTCAATCAAGGTTATCTTCACTCACATTTCCATATTCTACCTTGCTTATTCAGCAGCTCATTCCTTCTTTGTTGTGTTACAGGAAATGAATGGAGTTCTCAAGAACATGCTCTCAGAGTGGTTCTGCACAGGATTCCTCAACCTGGAGCGGGTCACGTGGCAGTCACCCTGTGAAGTACTCCAGAAAATTAGTGAGTAAGTGCTAAAGGCTGGAAGGAGTCCCTGGTGAAGAGGTGATGGAATGCTTGGGACTGCAGAGATTCCCTGGTTTCAGGACTCTGCTTTTCTGAGCTGAAGGCAAAGTATAATTATGAAATATTTGCATTAACATGCTGAGAGCCCAATTTAAAAACGGATTGAAGTAAAGAGTGAAGGGATCATTTGTGCCATAATTTGATCCTGTAGCTCCCACACTGCACTGGTAGAGTGCTGTCTTTCCTTCCAACTTTCTCAGTTGCTCTTCCCACATTCCCAGAGGTGCTGCAGTGGTTTTGGCTGGAGCTGGTGAGGTGCACAGAATCACTTGTAAACTACATATGAAGAGAGCAGCTTTATACAGTTTTTATACAGTGTGCTCTACAACATTGGTTTCTGAATCTGTAACATTGATTTTTTTAATCTGTACCATTGATTTCTGAACCTACAGCGTTGCTTTTTGAATCTGTAACATTGATTTCTGAACCTACAACACTGATTTCTGGATTTATGCCAAATAGTCAAAGTTGTGAAGTTGAAAATTACTACATTATGTGGGGGGCTGCCTTATTGTATAAAATCTTGAAGAAAAAATAATCTCTGATTATTATTATGGGATGTTCTGAAAGTACCTTGCTTAAGTGTTGATGAGACAAAGAGAACTCATACAAGCTGAATATTCCAAATAAAGATCATTGGTAATATTTAATCACTCTTTGAGGTAATTTGGCAAACACACCGGTGAGTGGGTATGCAATATTCCTTTACAATCCACTTTGGCACAGCTTGCTGACAATTTTACATTATTCACAGCCTGACTCTTGTTTTTTGATGGGAAAGTTTTGTCACTGACATCAGTGGGAAGAGCACTGAACTTGTAGGGCAGTAAATGAAATAATAATAGCAATAACAATGATAATAATGATAATAAATTAATGATAATAGTAATTTTATTTTTTAAATTCTCTCCTTGAGTTCTGAAGCTGTGCACCCTGTCAGAAACTGGGTTGATATGAAGCGTCGAGTTGGGGCCTATAGAAGGTGCTACTTCTTCTCTCACTGTGCCATCCCAGGAGAGCCACTGATTGTCCTGCACGTGGCACTAACCAGTGACATCTCCAGCAGCATCCAGGTACAGCCACTGAGGCATTTAGGTCATGGCAAAGTGCTCAAATTGCAGTGTGCTTATTTAAAAATCCACAGCTCCCTATAATTTGGCAATGTTTGCTTTTGTTTTGTCTTTTTAGAGATGAGAGAATTATCTCGTAAAAATTACAGGGATACTTTGTCTGTCTTGTGTATTATGGAAATTGAAATTTTGAGGGTTTGCTCAAGAGCAAGAAGAATAAGAAAAGATAAGAAATATATAGAGAAAATGAGACTAAAATTTCAAAGTGGTTGCAATTACTTCTGAAAACTTTAAACCATGTTGCAGTTTCTCTCTGCACTTACTAATGAATAAGCAGCTGTTCCTACTTTTTTATCAGATTTTTATTGTTAATGAATAAAACAGTGGGGAAAAGTGTTAATGCATTTAAAAGTTAAAAACCTCCCCATAATGCTGATAATAACTATTATTAACATTTTTTATTTTTAATCCTTATTTTCCCAGGCCATAGTGAAAGAAGTGCCGCCTTTAGAGACAGAAGATGCAGACAAAATCACAACAGCAATTTTCTACTCCATCAGTTTGACTCAGCAGGGCCTGCAGGGAGTGGAACTTGGGACTCACCTCATCAAAAGAGTTGTCAAGGAGCTGCAGGTGGGTGTGCAGGGGGGCTCAGGGTCTGTTTGCCCAGCATGGTTTAGTTCTTAGGGCTTCCCCTTCCCTTGGAACTTCTTCCCTGAGCAGCCTTTGGAGATGTGGAGAGCTGGAAGAGCATTTCCTGCTCTTGGCTGATGTCTGCCAGATGTAGATTCTGTTCCACAGCTGACGTGGTCAGTGTGGAATTCTTGTGTGGTTGCCTGGAGTCAAGTAAGAACATTTCTGCTGGAGGTGGCTTTGACAGAGCTGTGTTCTGCTCTGATGCAATTCAGGTTCTGCTCTGATACAATTTACTTACCTCACAGTTGAGTGATAAGAGCCTGATCAAGATATTCTCTCTTCAAAGTACCTGACCGTGCCTTTTCCAAAATCTTACAGCTGCTCCAGGAACAGAAACACTTCCTGTTCATTAATTAGTTAATTGCTTTGTTTGTTATACTGAATTGCCACTGGTTATTTATGCAGTGTGCATGTGTGCCCTGAATACATCTATTGAGAAAAATAAACAGGAGGGAGATTTCTTTGCCCAGATATGTCTTGCAATATAGTAAAGAAAATGTCTTAAAAGTCTAAAGAATCTTTTACTCTGCCAGTCAGTTCTGTGAATTTAGATAATGTCATTGCAGGCTAAGGGATTATTGTTAACAGCTTTAGTACTTGGAGAACCTTCTTCCAAGCAACTGGAGAAAGGAATGAAAATCCATGTACAGAGTGGTGTGAGAGAGCCAGTCATGTTCCTGCACTGAGCACTTTATTTTATTTAATAGTCTTTACTACTTAAATTGCTGACAAATCTACCACTTAAAAGTAATGATCATTAGTTGTGTTTATGTTCATTGTTTCACATCTGGATTAGTGACAATGTCTGGAAAACTGTCTGTGATTTAGAACTTCAGTTCTATTTACAAAAATATCTTAAAATTGGATGCTCCAAACTTCTACTGCCAGAAAGTGATAGATTATTTAATTGCTGAATCATAGCTGGCTGCCCTAAAGTAGTTTTGGTTGTGTTTGTTTTTTTTTTTAATTTTATTTTTAATGGATATTTTGGCTGTATTTTGTTTCTTCTTGCTTTTGGAATGGTTTTTAGATTAATTGTTGAAAGTGCAGTAGTCCAGGTATAATTAGACCATGCCATCTGTCTGATCTTGACTGAGGGGAAATTGGAATAAATTCATGCAGTTATCTGCTTTCACATCTGAAAAATAATTTCTGGATAATTGAGTTGCTCTCATAAAATAACCCTATTGACATTGTATCTGTCCATCACTAATTGCTTGCAACATCAGCAGAGTTGTGAGTTATAAAGGCAAACAGACACATCATGCTTAGATAACCTAATGCAGGTTTTAAAATTCAGTGTGTCCAACAGAAGAGTGTGTTTTGTATTTCTACTTATGCCAAAGTTTTTATATTTCAGTGTTTGAAACCCAGCCCCTCTTTAGTGTTCATCAAAGGAAACCCTTTGCTGAGATGCCTTTAAATACATTTTAATCTTAAAATTAATCCCTCAGTCTTTAACAACTTCTTAATATTGAAAACTTGAGTGCTTTCCATGCAATGCCAAAGGTGGAGATCTTCCTCCCTACTCAAATTTCCTACACTGCTTAAAGGCATTGTGAAAAACCTGCTGGTAGGAAATTGTTGTGTGGCAAATTGGACGTGGACTGAGGTGTTTGTTGAGGTCTGTGTGCACAGATTGAAGGTACAACAACCTCTGTGCATTGCCCTGCACCATTCCTGTTTGGAAGGGAACCACCCTAGGGCTAAAGAAGATAGAAAGGATAATCCAGGAATATTTATCCATTGGGGATGTGGCTCTACAATAGTTTTTTCTTCACTGTTTGATGTTAATGTTTTTCTTTCTCCTGTTCTTCACACTCCTCCATGCTTTCTCCACCTTCATTCCAAAGTGTTGTCCTTGAGTTTGTCTTGAGTGGTGCAAGAACCATTTCCCACTGCACGTTTTACATCTGTGAAGTGAATTTAAATCATTTTTCTGTTCTTCCCACAATGGTTTGATGCTCTTCTACAAGGCCTCCTCGTTTAGCTTCAGATACAAACATTGTGCCTCCCATCTCAGGGGACCTCACCCCTCAGAGGAGAGACCCTCTGTATTTCAGCTTCAAAATACTTCCACTGTGGAATTTGTACAAAGTCAGGGTTGTTCAGGCCAAAGGCAGGGCATGCAGTGAGTAAATACTCTTGGCAGCCTGTTTTGCCTGGCTCCCAAAATTCTGGAAGTCCTTTTTCTGTGGATTAATTGCACACATGTGCTCTCTTTCTCTCTGCTCAGGTGCTGCAAAGGACTTGCCAAGGTTGTCTCTATTCAGGTTGGACATAATTCTTGGGAGCAGAATTACAGTCACTTCAGGAGGGACAAATGGTGTACAGGAGTGCTGAGTGGACTTGGTGACAGCAGCTGAAACAATCCAGCCTCAGCAAAAAAGTCCTGGGTCAAAAATTACATCTCATTAAGCCACTGTCCAGCAGCCTTTGTAAAAATAGATGGGTGAGGTCTCTGATAGGAAGAGGATTTTTTATATCACCTTTGCATGGCTTTGCAATAAACAAATCTTTTTTTCAAGTGCTGCTAAATCACCAAGTGTTCCAGGTTACGGAAGAAGTTGAGACTCTCTTTAATTTAACTGGTAATAAAATGCATTGGGAAGAGGAGACCATTTGAAAGGGTTGAAGATTTTGTTTTTCATTTTATTTAAATTGATGATTGAGACACTTTTATAACTTGCCATTTGAGCTAACTTTTGTGGGTATCTGTTTGGTCTGCAGAATTCTGTTTGTGTTGTCCCAAGGAGCTGTAAGCTCTTAAAACTTCTTTTATCCTCCAGTTAAAATCCTTTACCTGACTTCTACCTTAATGTAACCTGCTCTGACACTTCTACTTGTAAGTGCCACTGTAACCTCCAAACTGAAATCCCAGCTGTCATTCTTCATGAGGAAAACTCCAAATTGGACCTGTCATGAATGTGTATTAGGTCAGGAAAAGACATGTACAAAGTTAGGGATGTGCTGAGAACCCCTCTGCATCAAAGCCTTCATCTGTCAGGATTTCAAAAAACTGTACTGAAACCTTAATCTAAACTAGAAAATGATGGCTGTAAATCCAGTTAATACCATACTTCTTAATATCTCATTAATACACAATTAAAATAGAATTCAATTTTTTTAGAAGTCTTCTTGCTCATTTGCCTGAACTGGTCACTGCTAAACATGAGCATGTGTGGGGCAGCACTTGTCACCTTCAAAGGATGCCAAGCACTGATTCCCTCCTGAAAGCATTCCTTGGAAATGGGTTTTTCCTAGGATTATTGGAAGAACTGATGAGGATTTCACATCCCAGGGCTGAGCACTGTTAGTTTTAGGCACTGTGTACAAATTGATGGCTGCTGCTTTTGGGTCTCACTAATTTAAGCAGGTGGAGGATGGATGAAGTTGAGGCACACAGTGGGGTCCTCAGTTTCCCCTCTGTGCACAGTTTGCAGTTGGAATCCTTAACCTTTACCTGGACATTAAGGTTTGGCATTTTCCCCAGGAATTGTTCTGTATAATTGGGTAAAGGGGGGGTATTCTGGAGATCAGAATTGGACCTGGTGTCACCTACAAGGGCCATCCTGGGACAAGCTGTGCTGCTCTCAGGAGCAGATTATTCTGGTTTTCTTGACAAAAGTTTGCTACACAGATAATATAGAAGGGGTTTGTGTAGAGGCTTCTGTTGTTTCTGAGCATATCCTATTGGGATTATTTTGGGATGAATTCATTAGGCCACTGATACCACTTTGATCCCAGTTCTCCCTGCACAAATCTGGGAATAGGCTGTGTAGGCATTCTGTGCAGTCTCTTGTTTATATTAATGTATATAAAGCAGGGAGCAGGCAACAAAAAAATGATCTCGTGTATTTCTGAAATTGAAGCTTGTGTTGTTCCCAGAAATGAATTGGATTTTGAAACTATTCCAGACAACTACAAAAAAGCAAACAAACCCCAAATTGAGTGCAGACAGATCATTTCTAGCAAGCTGATAGGTGCTGGTGAACGAGGAGGTAGATGGATTTCTCATTAGCCAGACATTTAATTCCCAATGTGTTTATAGCCACTCTAAGCAGTCTGTGGCTCTGCAGAAGGTACATCATGGCAGTTCAGTCAGCAGATGACAGACACAGATAACTGTGCTGAAGCCTTTGAGAAAACTGCTTAGGATTTTATAGCCTGTGGCTTTTGAGGGAGAAAACTGATAGCTGCTGTGTGACTCAATAGAATGCTCAACAATTGGTGGCAGATTTTAGCTTTCTGCTTGGGCTGTTGATAATTGCTACCTTAATTTGATCTAGGTGACCTGGGGAGATCATAATTTCCAAAAGAGGCTTTGATTTCATTGATGAAAAATGTGACCTTGGACTGCAGCTTTCAGAGTGCAAGACAGTTTCAGATGAGATAGGGATAATGGGAGAAATCTGTGCTCTTCTGCAAGGAAAGAAAAAAGAAAACAACAGCAAAAAACAACGATCAAACACAGAAATCTACCCTGAACCAAAACTAGCAGCTGTTTCTTAATGGTGTGTGGGTTTCTGACAGGAAAGTAAACATTAATGGATCTCCACCAATAGCCTTAGAAACCAGCACATCAATTTAGCAAAACATAAATGTGCCCACTCCAGTGCATTTATTTATTTTTCCATTAGAAATGGATGCCCCAGATAAGCTTCTGAATAAAGCTTTTATCAGATATGTAGTAGTTGGTACTGTCACTTCAAAATGGGGTCACTTCCCCATGTCTTATCTGTCCTGAGAAGTAAAAAACCCACAATTTCCCACTTGGTGTTTTTAGTAGAGTAACACCTGTGAAGTGTTTGGGGCTGTCTTGGTGAGCAGGTCACTCCTGAAAGGGGTGATGAACAAGGAGCAGTCAATGTCCCCAGCAATCCCTGTCAGTTGTTTCATTAGGAACTTTGCAGAGGTTGTTACTACCACAGGAGAGGGGAGGAAATAATTCATTTTCCCCTTTTGTCATGGTGGGTGGTGCACAGGTGCCCTTGGGCTCTGCAGGCTGGGAGATGGGATTGGAACTGGTACCCTGTGGAAGCAATGGAGTACTCAGCTCCTGAGTGAGAACCCTGTCAGCTCTGTTCAGGAGCAAAACAGAAGTGTAAGAGATGGCTGTAAAGGAACTTTTTAATTTTATGAAATTCACGTGCAAGGAAACCTGATGGTTGGATTTCACAGATGGTGTTAAGGACATCAGCTTTGGAATTAATCTTAAAAATAACATCACCATGTCTTTTAGTGGAAACCTGAAAAAAGCTTCTATTTTTTTTCTAGAATTCACTATCTGAGTGTGGCAGTTGTAGCAGTTGTGAGCATGACCCAGTCAGGATCTCCTGGGAGCTCTGATGGCAAAAATGCTGTTTTGTTCAATAAGATAGAGAAATGAGTGTTTTTAGGAAATAATTTGCTTGGTTTTCTTTATCTGGTCCTCTAAGGAGATGAACTGAGGTGTTTCTTTGATAAGGTGTGACTTGATCTGCTCTTCTTGTCCTGCCAGGTCCCAAAAGAATTCTGAAGCTGACATGTCTAAATAACAAAGAGCTTCAGCTCAGGGCAGGTGACCCAGCCGTGTCACCAAGCTGCAGGGCTGGCTGTGTGTCACACTGCTGGAAGGCACAGGACAGCAGAGCCGTATTTGGGAAGCTGCTGTGGGAAGGGAGGAGGTTTTGAGAATCTCGAGATGGCCACAGCATCCCTGAGCCTGCAGCCTCCCGGAGCAGGCTGCAGGTGGCAGCTGTGGAGCTCAGCAGCAGCGAGGAGCTGCAGCTCTCACAACCTGGCAGCACCAGCTGAGCCCTGATGGCTTTTTAATGGTTACCTCGGTAATCCTCGAGGTAGAAAAAGCGCCATTTGTAGTCATTTAAAGACAATTTTCTGCTGACATTAAGATGCTTCTGTAACGTTGATGAATGTCTTGGTTCTTACCATTTCTTCTGTTGGAACAGTAATTAAACCAACGCTGGGGTGGTTTCAGTTCAGCTCTGTCTTCCTTCTGTTCCTTGGCTCCCCACTCCTCCAGGAGGGTTGCCTGATGCATTTGGTGTTCATTCCAAGTGACAGTGACTTTATTCTTCACACTGGTGAGCCCCAAAGCTAACACGGTTTTCCTTATGTATGTTTTGCTTTACATGATTTCATAGTTAGCAAGGTTTAATCAGAAATTAGTAGGAGCAGAGAAGAAGTTTTATGTGGTTATAACAAGTGTTATATTTGCAGTAAAAAAAAAAAAATCACACACTTAGTAGTTCTTGCTGGTTTAGGGAATATCATTAAAGGTAGCTGGCCTTTATAAAGAACTTCATTCAAAACTACAGGAAATACTTCTTTCCATAAAAATCTAAAAATAGTACCTCTTGATTTTACAATAGACTAAAATAATAAACTGCCCTTGATATAAAAAAAAAGTTATATATGAAAAATAAATAGTATTTAAATGGTTTTCCAAACTTGCATGTCTATTAAATAAATACTCTCCTCAGAATCACTTCTTTATGGCCTGTGATTTTATGTTTATTTCTGCCTGTAAAAGGATAACAGCAGAACCCAGTGGTGTTAAGTACTGCAAAAGTGCTTTTATAGAGATGGTGTGTGAGGAATGGATTCAGTCAGTGTTAAAATTTTCTGCGTGCTCCCAGTGCCTTCTCATCACTAACCTGTTACTGCCAGGGGGATTTTTTGCCATTTTTTGTGTCCATGTGTATCAGTTGCTTCTCAGATTCCCTGGTTTTCACTTGCCAAAAACCAAAGGCCGTCAGCTGCCCCTTGACTCAAACTTCTCTGTGCCAATCATGACCAAACTCATGATTTATTTTTTCTCTCCTTTTGCTTGCAGAAAGAACTTCCTCAGATAGAAGCTTTTTCCACACTTTCACCTATCCCAGGATTCACAAAATGGCTCGTTGGTCTCCTCTCCTCCCAGACAAAAGAACACGGAAGGAATGAACTTTTTACGGAATCTGAATGGCAGGAAATCTCTGAGCTCACAGGAGACCCCACCAGCAACACCCTAAAGAAACTCTTGAACACCAACGAGTGGGTGAGGTCAGAAAAGCTGACTGAGGTGCTGCATTCCCCCCTGATGAGGCTCTGTGCCTGGTACCTGTATGGGGAGAAGCACCGGGGCTATGCCCTCAACCCCGTGGCCAATTTCCACCTGCAGAACGGCTCGGTGCTCTGGAGGATCAACTGGATGGGGGACAGCAGCCCCCGCGGCATCGGGGCCTCCTGTGGCATGATGGTCAACTACAGGTATTTCCTGGAGGAGACAGCCTCCAACAGTGCCCTGTACCTGGCCTCCAAGCAGGTCAGAGCCTCCGAGCAGGTGCTGGCCTTGGTGGCCCAGTTCCAGCAGAACAGCAAGCTCTAGGGGGACACCATCAACACTCCTAGAGAGTGTTGCTCGCTGTAAGGAGCTGTGCTCACCTGCAGTGTCTTACTTCAGTCAGAATGTACCTTGTGGGACAATGTGCTCGGGGTTACCTGGCTTATCAGGTCTGGCTCACAAGGCTGTGTACTCCACCTATGGTGTGTGCAGAGGGGTTGGAGTTGTGTGTTAATGGAGAGTAAAATCCTCTTCATCAGGTACAGCCCAGGGGTAACTCAACCAAACAAAAAACCTTTATTACCAGCATTATTCTGTTGGTAATAAATTGTATAAGCTGTCTTTGAAGGGAGCTGCACTTCTCTGTCAAAATGCTGCTATAGATTGTTCAGAACCAAAGTACCTGGAATAAAGGTAAATTTTGGGTCAAATATATTATCAAAACAGCAATCTACAGTTTTATTTCTATAATATCTGTCTTTTGCACCCTCAGAAAAATCTCATGTAAAACGTCCTAGCATTTTCCTGTTTAAATCTAAAACTCACTGAGTCTTTGCTTTGCTGGAGTGTGGAAAAGCCTTGCACTAATGTTGAAAAATCAGGATCTCAGTCCAGCAGGTATGTTATGTTAGATTTGCATGTTTAGGCTGCTAAAATTTAATGAGCAGTAAGGAAGTGTTCAGGTAGGAGAGAACAAGCTAGACTGTTAACTTGGGAATCATGTGAGGAGTTTCTAAATATGTATATTATATGTTGGCTCTAGTAATGTTTTAAGTTGATAAAGAGCTTTTTTAATAATGAGATAGGTGTGATTTATAAACCAATAAAACAAACTTTCTCCATAAATCATGGTTTGTGGATTTCAGCATCTCCCTCCTTCACTTAGTGACCCTCCTTCATAACAGTTTCACCACACAGTGAACACTCAGGACACTCCTGGTTTTAACAGTGAGCAGGGCTTGGCTCCATTCTCTTGGGCTTTCTGATCTTCCTCGACTGCCTTAAAATTCAGGTTTCGAGGTGAAATTTAGCTGCTTGTATAAACACATGCAAGCCATTGTTGGCTGGCAGGAATAGAGCAAGAGAACCCTCTCTTTGTTAAACTCTTCAGGTTTGAGGGAACCAGGTCACTTACTTCAAGTGAAAGAGTTCTGAAAATGCAATGGTTTTGAAAGATGGTTTTATTTTGAATCAGGAGGAGCTATGAGGGCAATTAAATCTGCATCCTCCTGGCCATAGTTCAAAAAGAGCTAATGCTTCTGCTGTATTGCAGATGGAAATACAACATAATCCCATATTCTTAACAGCTGGACTCGAAGGATAATGAGTTTTTTCCACTTGGAGCTTCAGACAATTGTATGAGAATTGGTTCAGTGACATGAAATGATAGTAGCATATGAGGGAGGAAAAGCAAAGCTGCTAATGCTTCGTTAACACTGCAGTTATTTCCCAGACCTGCCTGCCTACATCTCACACAGCTCAGGGGAAGAGGTCTTCTCTCTATTTTTATTCCTACCAACCTTCAACTCAGGAGGATGGATGCTGGCATTTGGGCATGGCAAACAAATTCCCACCTGCACCCCGTGGTTGCAGTGTCACCCTCGAGCTAAGAATGACACAAGAACAGATGAGAGACTCAATTGCAAGAGGAGAAAAAGAGCTTTTATTACAAAGGATTCTTTGGTTTATATAGACTGATATGACATATTCTACTTGATGGGCTAGTTAATAAAAAACATCTTTTTCACACATTGTCCTTGAGAAGAACAGGAAAACAAAGTGGAAAAGCGCTACCTGTAGGTTGTTTATACGAACAAGTTATCACATTCCTACAACTCCCTAAAATCCTCACAAGCTACTGTGAGAAACAAATGCTGTTTCTCTCTCCCTGCCCAGGCTGGCATCCACACTGCAGGACTGCTTTCCCAGCTGCTGACCCGTGTGGTCACAATCAGGCCATGTCACAAGCAGCTCTGTCCCTGTCCCCTCGTGCAGCTGCCACGTTTCTCTGGGTGTTGGATGAACCACTCCCCCCTGCACCAGCAGTTCAGTCTGCTGGTGTTCCCAGCAGTTGTGATGTGGGGCTGAGGACATTGCAAAGCTGCAGCAGCTTCTTCCTGGAGCTCTTGTGGATGGGTACATTTGTTAGGTGACATCTGGTCTCCATCAGAAGCGCAGCACCTGCAGAGCTGTTTCCTTTTCGGCAGTTGTGGTGGTTGTGGCTGTTGGTTGTGTTGTGCTTTCTGAGGTCACATCATCTGTTACACTGATGGGTTAGCAGTGTGAGGCCAGAGCTCCTGCAGGGAGCTCTGTGTCAGAATCACAGCACCAACATCAGTGCAAAAGGATCCTTTGGAGATGGAGGTGGGACAGGCTGCCCATAAAAGCCATCAGCTGTTAAGTGCTATTCGTTTTCTTTCACTGGCCATTGATTTTTTGTCTTTCTGTTGTATTTCCAGCTTGCTACTGAAGAGAGATTTTAGCATGAAAGATGCTGAAGAGAAAAAATTAAATATTCACCATCTGTGCTACTTACCAGGACAATAACTGTCCCTGGAGAGGAGTGTGCTCTGTCACAGGGAATCTTCACAACACTGAGAGACACCCAGTGCCTTTCTGTCCCTGAGTGCCACTGCAGTGCCATTTCTGAGCAGCACAGAAGAGTGGAGAGGAAAAAGGGGAGGCTGCTTTCAGTGCCTCTCTCCTCAGCGAGCAGTGGGAGCTGCTGTGCTGGAAGGGGCTGCCTAGAAAAACATCTCAGTTTCACAGCTGCATCCTGCCTTTGAAAGCAAATCAATAGAAATGATGTTGCCCTGTCACTTAGGCTTGTTTAAGATCAGCTCAGGCTGGTTTTTGTGTCCCAGGAGTGGGGCATCCCTCAGTGCCAGCTGAGTGGGAGCTGTGCCCTGTGTGAGCAGGGAGAGCCCAAACACTGCTTGGCTGGGGGATTTGCGGTTTTCAGTTCATTTACAGGTGCTGGGCCATCACAGTCCTGCTAAAAGAAGGAAGTGCTTGAAGCAGACAAACTTTCCATGTGTGTGTCTGCAGTTTATTTTACTTATTTACTGTCACAAGCTACCAAATGTGCCCCCTGTGGGAATTCCTCCTTGGGGAAAGGGGTACAAAGGTGTTGTAAAGATAGAGTAAGGTAAGGGCAGTGTGACTCTTCAGCCTCTTGGTGAGGAAACTCCTCTAGGAAGGAGGGATCAGGGTTATGCTCACATGCCAGGAGCAGTTAAAACACTTTTAGCATTGTTTTCTTTAGGAAATAAGGAATGAGCCATCACATTTATTGTCTGGTATTTTTAATGCTTCCAAAAGCATTTGAATTTTTTCAAGAAATTTGAACCCAAATGTTTCTCAAGCAAGGGTGTCAAGCACTGGGGTGTTATATAAATGTTCACTGTTGAGTACCATGAACTGAAAAAAGGATAAATGGACCTAAAGGGATGTCATGAGCCTGTCCAGGTGTGTTCCTGCACTTACCCAGCTTTCTGGCAGGTGATTGGCAGTTTTCCACATTTTTTTCCACACAAATCTTCCATCAAGGCATCAACCACAGGTTATGGGGAAAGCTGGATTGCCTTGGTGTGTCCCTTCCAAGCTAATGCTTATAGCCAGGGAATTAACATAGCACAAGTGGGTTATATTCAAGGTCTTTTGTAGTCAGTCTTGAGTTTTGGGTTTTATTGGATACCCAAAACTGTTCAAAAAAAAAAAAAAAAAAAAACAAAACAAAAACCAAAGAAAGAAAAACCCAAAATCACTTTTTACCACTTATATCTAATAAATGAATGTACACTCATAAATCTGTAGCAGGGCTGGGAAATGCTGAAGCACAGCAAGATGTAACCTGACATGCACAATAAGTTCTTAAGCCAAAAAAGCAAACAAAAAAAATCTGCTGCTAAGGCTGTAAAGATTATGTGCAAATGCAGATTTCTGTGTTTTTTTTTCCTGGAGATGCCGTAATTGCCTGCAGGATGCATTAGCTCACTGCAACAGCTCAGCATTGAAAACCAGAAGGTTGTATTGCATTTTTATGTTATACGTAATACTAATCAATATCCATCTCTTCCTCTTTATCATCTGTTAATTGTGGGCAGAATTAACAAAGATAATCTCTGGAAGGCAGCAGCTGTAGCTGAAAGAGATCAATTAAACAGTACCTGGTCAGATGGTGAGGAAACAAAAGATATTCTGTTTCCATTTTTAAGATATGGCAAGAAAAAAGTAATTTTTACTAAATTGTTTTAGCTAATAGGCCTTTTTTCTTTTTAAAGAATGAAAAGTGTGAAGGAAAATTAAAGTAACTCAGTCACTGAAACAGATTTGCAAAACCCTCTGCTAAATGTGACTTTGAAACGAGACAATTCATTAACCCAGCTACTGGGGATTGGATTGGAATTATTTACTGAATCTTAGCCAGAGTCAGAATTTGGGGCTGTTGAGGGGAGTGGTGGAGAAAGAGAAAGATCGAGAATTAAAATGACACATTTTAATGACACATGTTGTTTCTGCCTAATTACAAAAGAAAAGGAAATGATGCCAGAACTTTAAATAGGGAAAAAATCATTACATTATTACAGTCTGTATCTCAGAATATACTTAGATAGACTTCACGTTCCAGAACGGTATTTAAAATGCAATTTAAATATTTAAATTGTGTTTGCTTAAATTTTTAAAATAAATGTTGTTGTGGGTTTTTTTAGAGAATGTTCTCCTGATGAGATAGCCTTGAAATTTCATATTTTTACTGCAACTAAAGTTCTCCTAACGAGTTATGTTGGAGTTAAGAGGATGCCTTTAGGCAAAGGATAAACTTTTAATTGGATTTTTGAATAATCATCTTTTGAGTCCTACTCAAACTTCAGATTGTGTTTGAAACACATTTTGCACCATAGATCTTTGATGTCACACTCCAAATCTGCAGCTCTGCTGCATTCATGGCACAGCCACCCTGCAAAGGGAGAGTGCTGGGTTTTGTAGGGAGGGACCCTAAAAATCACCAGCTCCACCCCATCCATGGCAGGGACCCCTTCCACTGTCCCAGGGTGCTCCAAGGCCTGGCCTGGGACACTGCCAGGGATCCAGGGGCAGCCACAGCTGCTCTGAGCAGTAAACAGTGCTGGGTTTTGCCCAGCTCTTTATTCTGTGTTTGAATCACCCCAGGCTGGATTTGCTCTCCTGGTTCCCAGGACTGACTCTCTGATCCTCCTGCACTCCCAGATCCCTTCCTGCAGGGCTGCTCCCCAGCCACTCTCATCCCAGTCTTTAAAATC